CCTGAGGCCTTTCTCCCCGGCGTGTCGACGCTGTCTTTTTCCAGGGGCCTCCACCCACTGTCTCTCTGTGCGTATCTGTGTCCTAATCTCCTCTTGTAAGGAAACGAGTCCGGTTGGATTAGGGCCCACCTCCATGCCTCATTTTTCATTAATTACCTATTTAAGGCCCTACCTCCAAACCGTCGCATTCTGAAGTGTGGGGCCTGGGGCTTCAGTGTGTTAACTGTGGGAGATGGGATTCGTGATTCGGCTGTGACAGTGTGTAGAGCCAGGGAGCGGGTGGACACGGGGCTTGGAGAAGCAGCCTTTGCCTCTCCAAAGGCAGGCAGCCGAGCAGCAGGTCTCGGAGAGGAGGCTGCGGTTCACGCCCTGGGCCTGCCTGTGGCTGTGTGGTCTTGCTAAGGTTATTAACCTCTCAGCACTCCACTGTCCCCATCTGTTAGATGGGGTGATTTACACAACTCCAGGACACAATGTCAAAGTGAGGTTTGAGTGGCATCATGCCTACAAAGCGTGCCCACTGCCTGAAGCAGCCTCACTTCCGCCAATGAAAATTGCTGTTATTGCTGCTGTTTTGCTATTGTCACCCCCTGCAGAACCTCAGGCCCACCTAAGGGAGAGGGCTCACTGACTGCAGTGTCTGGGACGATTCCAGGCCTAGGCAGGCGCTTACTGAAGACAGAGTATCTGATGTTTCTGAAGCCTGAATTCAAGGACAAAACAAATTGCTCCTCTTCTTATTTAATCTGTACATCTTCAGGCTGCACATTTTCCTATTTGAGATCTGAACTAAATATAGAGAGCCTGTTTCTAAATTTAGTACGATGAATCTCTGTTCAATTCTGGAGCTTTTCACTGTCACCAACCAGCACTCCCCATGGAGATTTAATGATGCAGACCTTTCATGTGAGCTGAAAGAAAGTGCCCTCTATCAGGGCTGGAGTCTGGGAACAGGAGGGGAGGGAAAAGGCCCTGAGACCCTCTTCGGAGAGAACAGGGAGAGACTAAGTCACAAGGGAGGAGCTCTCCTACCTGGCATTTTACTCTCCCTGGCTTCTCCCAGAGGAAAGGTCATGTGAACCACGGTGGGAAAAAGGGCAATAACCAAAGAATCAAAAATAATGATGCACATTTGGTGAGAAGGTGACATGGGCCAGACCAACTCTGATTTGTCCTGGAGACACATGGAAACTGGCATGAATTTAGTAACAGGCCGGGGCAAACAATTAGCCGTTGGGAAGGGAACTAATCACGCACTCATTGGGAAAAGTACTTACCAGTTATAATTAGGATTACCACCTAAAAAAAAATGAAAAGAAAGAATGGAACTAGAGCTGGTGTGATAGACATATGGTCTACACAAGTCCAAAACCTTCCCTGATTTCTGCTTTATTGTTCCTTGGGGGGCAGGGTGGCCCTTACTCTCATGGTCCAGAATGGCTGCTGATGCTCCAACCATCAAGTCATGTTCCCAGCAGCAGGATGGAGGGGACGAGAAAAATGGCGTACTCCTTCCCTTTTCAAGAGACTACTCCGAGATCTCATGGAACACACAACTTCTGCTTACACCTCATTGGAAAAAACTTGGTCTCATGGTCACATCTAGTTGCAGGGGAGACCAGGAAATAATGTAGCAATGTGTTCAGTGAAAAATCTTTAATTTTGGAACAAAGGGAAAAGGATATTTGCAAGGTAAATGGATGTTTAGAAAAAAGGGACATGGATATTTGGAAGGTAAATGGATGTTTAGAAAGAAGGGACATGGATATTTGGAATAGTACATCAGATATTCCCCAGAACGAATATGTAACTAGGTGAGTGTTCACAACCCTCTGAGAAGGAATATGACAACTGCCTTAGAATCATCTGCAGTCGAGTCTTTGTGGGAGTTACAGGAGAAAAACTAGGAATGTGGCTGTCAGAGAACATCTGCAGTGACACCCTTTAGGTAAATCAGTGACCACAACGGCACCACGCAGTGGGGCGGGGATTGGCCTTCCTAGCAGGACACCAAATTATCATATCGGTTAAAAGAAGGACCAGGGAGGGGTTGACCTGTTATGGAATTGGTCCCGGGAAAATAGCTCCCCAGGAGTACTTAGTGTGTTGCCCAGAGAGGCTGCTTCCAAAAGAGAGGCCATCCTTGCACTTGTTCAGTGGACCTGAGGCCCGAAGGACAGCCTGGCTTATACAGGTGCGCGCCACACACGTAGAGGTGGGTTGCGCTGCCTCAGCGTCCAGGCGCAATCCACCGTGTGCTTCCATCACCGTTAAAAATGACCTGAGAGAGAAGACATGGAGATTGCCAGAAAAAGCACAATCAAGATTTCCTACAGTGTTCAAGCTCAGTGGGGAGAATGATGGAAGTGGAGGGAAAGAAGGATACAGGGGTGGGACACGCAGACGCAGGAAGAGGGCGTCAGCAAGATACAGGAGCGAAGCCCTCCAAAGGCAGGAACGCACAGCCCTCTGGTGCACCAAGCTCTCAGGCTTTTCTTCCCCTGCTTCTTTCCTCTGGCCTCACTGCCCTCCTAGTTGGGCTTAGACTAGTGCTGTGCTGGGAAACATTTAAAATCCAGCCCAGCGAGTGGGGTTGGTGATTTGCAGCGTTGGTCAATTTCTGTGGCATAAATTCTCCCCAGCGGCAGATTTCCTGCAGCCAGTGTGACGTCACTGAACTCAGCGCTGAAAAGAGTCACACAGTGGCCGCCATGCCGCAGCAGTTCAGTCTTCCAGACAGCATGATTCAAAATAACCTCAATACCAGCGCGGGCAACCTGGTGAAACCCTGTCTCTACAGAGAACACAAAAATTAGCCAGGCGTGGTGGCACACGCCTGTAGTCCCAGCTCCTTGGGAGGATCACTGGAGCCTGGGAGGCAGACGTGGTACTGAGCTGAGATTTTGCCACCGCCCTCCAGTCTGGGAAACAGAGTGAGACCCTGTCTAAAAAAAAAAATAAATAAATAACCTCAAGACCACAGATAGCAGTAAAGTGTTCTAATACAATCAGGAGGTGATACTTTCTGAATGTTTACCTTTTTAAAAAAACACTCTTTATTTCATGTAAGGTTGTATGGCTTGATTTTTATTTTTAATAATGGCAAAGTTCTGACGAGAGGCTTGGCTGCTCTGACAGCTTCAGAAATATCTGTTCATTGGTGCCTGACAAATGTATGTTCATGTGTGTATCATTTTATGCCTGAAGAAATGACGTTCTTACTCCACGGGTGAGTCCTCTTCTCCACGGGATTGAGGTGTCATTCGTAACTCAGCCTCTTGTTAACCAAGAGATACGTGAACTTGCTACCAAAATGACTTTCTGACCCTCACTGCCTTTGGTCTTCTCTCTGCAGGCCCTGCCATCACCACAGCTCAGCCCAATTGCGGCCGATGTGTGCCTGAGCTGGCTGTGACCACTGCCCTCTGGCCGCAGGTCCGGTGCTGCACAGTCTTCAGGGGTGTGTGGGGCTGGACAGCATCCACCAGGTCCAGGCCCCGGAAACTGAAGGTATTTCCTCCACATCTGCCTCTGCACCTCCTGAGCACACACCTGCTGGAGGTGCTGGGAGTCAGCACCTGAGACACCTGAGGATGCCTCCTCTTTGAAGGCCAGAGTCAACTGACTGCATCTTGTACTGATTTTGTGGGGATTTCTGGTCTTTTTAATCCAATGCACACTGGTCCTCGCTGCTGCTGGAGTGAGGCTGGTTGTCTCTGAGTGGGTTCCGCACCCTCACAGCAGGGATCCTGACTCCTTTCTTTTCCACTCCAAGCTCACCATGCTGGATCCCACACCACAGACAGCCCTGAGGCCGCGCTCGCAAGACCAGATGGCCGGCTCGCCATTTCTGCCTTTCGGTGTCCAGGAGTTTTTCTTTCGTCTTTACTTGTTTATTGAGGAATGAAGAGGCAGCGAAGACTGATCAAGACACTGCCTTGAAAGGGTTTCATGGGCAAAGAACAAAAGCAAATCAAAGGGTTCATCCGGGCAAGGGGCTGACACTCTTCTCCTTTGGGGGAGGAGGAGCAGATGAGGACGAGGAGGACACAGCCCAGGACTCGCGGGGCCCTGCCGTCCACATTTCCTGAGAACTGCGAAGCAACGTGCAGCCACAAGTTTCCCCAGATGCCAGCACCCATCCCCCTCCCCAGGCCTGTGGGTCAGTGATTCCAACTCATCTGATGGGCTGTCCGTGGGGAAGGGATGGGCCCGCAGGTGCCTGTTTGGTTGATTGAAGAGGGAACTCTTTCACGACGAATGCCGGATTGAAACTCATCACGGCAAATGCCTAAGTTCTGAGAACAATATAATGTATTTACAGTGAGCTTATTAGTATCAGATGCACCTTTCCTACACAAGTTGTTCTCTCACCAGTCTGATTTCTAACCTCCTGAAGAGCAAAACCTGCCACCGACCCAGGAGCAACAGGTAGAAGAGAAATTCTAAAATGTCCTGAAGAGCGAGAGGCTCTGTGGAAAAGACCAGGGCTTGTGCAGGCGGGGGAGCTCACCACCCTGGGGCAGCAGCCCCTCACCTGGGGACAGCAGGCGCCGCCCTGAGCCAGGGCCCACCGGAGGCTTCTGGGCACAGACACACCCTGCAGACAGGTCCTGCTGGGCCACTTTGACATTTCTAGGATCTGGACTGTCCATGGGGAGTGATCAGGAGGGCGTGAGAAATACGCTGATTTGGGGCCGGGTGCAGTGGCTCACACCTGTCATCTTAGCACTTTGGGAGGCCGAGGCGGGCGGATCACATGAGGCCAGGAGTTTGAGACCAGCCTGGCCAGCACGATGAAACCCCATATCTACTAAAATTACAAAAATTAGCTGGGCTTGATGGTGCATGCCTGTAGTCCCAGCTACTTGGGAGGCCGAGGCAGGAGAATCACTTGAACTTGGAAGGCTGAGGCAGGAGAATCCCTTGAACCCACGAGGCAGAGGAGGTTGCAGTGAGCCACTGCTCTCCAACCTGGGCTACAGAGTAAGACTCTATCTCAAAAAAAAAAAAAAAAGAAAAAGAAAAACACAGTGAATTGGAACTCACTCACTATATCACAAGCATTGAGGCCTACTTGCACAAAACACTTGTTCCAAGCAACAAACGTCACCCAATGCGCGCACTGGCGCCCAGTGTGACGTTTCTAAGGTGAATGCGCAACACGAGGACGTGGAGGCCTGGAGGATTGTGGGAAAGGGGCGTGCGGCCTGTGCTGGGTGCCTCCCGTCAGCCAGACGCACCTGCGCTCCCAGTCCAGCCATGCCTTTTCCTTTCTTCTGCCAACTCTTCACATAGCCCGTGATTTAGGGGGGAAGAATTATTTACCAAATTTTTAAATCCATTTTTTTCTTCCTCAATCTAGACTAATTTTTCAGGTCCGAGGCCTGGAAAGCTTTATTCCGCAGGCCACTGAACTGCACTCCTGGAGAGCGGGCCAGTGCTATGATGGCCTCTGAGGCCGTTTGAACCTGGAGCTGCTTTTTCTCTCCTACTAAAATCCAGAAGAACCAGAGATAAATAAACGAAGCTCTACAGACAGCATGAGGACAATGAGCCTGTTCCCCGAAGTCCCAGCGGCCACACAGCTGAACCTGGCCACTTCTTACCAAACTGTCAGCCCAAGAACAATTAGCCAGGATCAACACACCAGCAAAGGTCATTTGGGTTTGGATTACAAATTGCCATGGTCTCAGAGAAGAGGAGAGGGAATCTGATTAGAACGCTTCTCGGCAGCTAAGGATTAGCAGGCATCCGCAAACCGCCCCACAGGGATCTTCGAAAGGTAAGGCGTGTGCCTGCTTCCTGGGTCGGCTCTGGAGAGGGCTTCTCCCCAATGCAGCCAGGTGGACAGGTTCTGTGGGCACTCGCTTCTGTGAGGACAATTATCTTGTGTTCCTGCGGGATTGGGGTTTCATCTCCAGGACTCACAGACTGTCGCTGCCATTTTCTGTTCCTTCCACTCTCTTAATTGCTGAGGTGGGGAGCCCTGGATGCATTATGAATTCGCTTGGGTTCATGAGTCTCATTGATAGAGGAGAATCTCATCTGTTTGTTTCATGATTTAAAAAGCGGGGGGCTCTGAGAAACAAACCAACAGAATTAGGACACATTGGGTCATAAGAAAAATGTTATAAATGGTATCCAATTCGTTTTAGAAAGCATTTCAGTTTAGAGTACACAGCTTAAATAAACTGGCTTTTCCTGGATCAGGGAAAGAATGAGGCCCAGGAGGTGCAGGATCCTCGTGAACAGCCACGGCCTCCTTGGGAAAACAGAGCATCTGAAGTGATGGAGGGAAGGGGTGTGGAGTTAGCAAACCTTACAAGTTTCACCTGAAACACGATTGCTGCGCGAGGGGAGTTTCCCGTAGTGTTCCCCTTGGCTCCCGGCGTGCTGGCTGGTCTCCTGCTCGGCTTCCTCCAGCAGGGAGTGAGGGTGAGAAGCCCCCAGTACCGCCCTCAGACTTCAGGAGAGGGCCAGCGGGGCTGAGGGTGGGTTCTGCTAAGCTTTCACAATGGCAAACTTTTCCAAAGTCAAAGGTGAGAAGCAGAACCTCCTGCGTTTCCAGAACTGGCTATTTATTATTTTTCTAGTTCTGTGCATTCTTGTTCAGTTGATGAAATCACATTCAAAAGTATAAAGCAATAATTTTCGGGTAAAAGCGGCCATACTCTGTACACTCAGTACTTCCGCACGGTACTGAGGGTGTGGACACTCCAGAGTGGAATCTTGCTGTGTTTTTGGTGTCACCAAAATCATAACCTTTGACTCTCTAATTCCAGTTCTCCTGAGGAAACAAAGGTCAATAATGTACATGAAAAGATACATAATATAATAGATAATAATTGGTAAGGAAAAGGTGACGAGAGAGGTGTTTGTAAACAATGGTGTTAACTGTTGGAATTTTGTTTTGAAATCATTTAATCATACGGAAATTGTGAATGACAATGAAAAATGACCAAGGCAGATATGGACGTGTATGGTTCACATGGATTACGTAGACGAGAAAAATTCACACAAAAAGGAAAGCTGGAAAGAAACGAGTGGTCTCTTTTTAATCTGGTAATTAGGTGTATTAGTTATTGTATAGTAATTTTGGACATATTTGAATTTGTATTTAGCCTCTATTTTATACTTTCCACTTATTCCACCTGTGTTGGGCAGAATTCCAAGTGTCCTCCGGTTCCCTCTCCATCATGGAGCCCCCTCCCCTGGCGTGTGGGCGGGACTGTGAACAGGTGGGTCAGCGCCACTTTGATTAGGCCACGTCACCCAGGACCCATCTTATGGCCTATGGCCTCCATGCTGCCTTGTCTGAGAGGCCGGGACCTGGGGAGCTTCCAGAGCTGACAGCAACCCCCAGCTGACAGCTAGAAGAAAAGTAGACTTCGGTACTGAAACCTCAGGGAACTCAGTTCTCCCCGCAACCAATGAGCTTGGGAAAGGTCCTGAGCCTCAGATGCCATCACAGCCCCGGCTGCTGTGCTTCCAGCCTGACCGGAGGACCCAGCCCACCCACCTCCAGACCTGCGGTCCACTGAGACAGTGAGAGGATGTGTGTGTGCTGTTTAAAGGCACTGAGTTTGTAGTGATTTGTCACGCAGTATCACAGCACACAACACCATACACACCTGGTTCACGGTTCTTTGTTTTCTTGAATTGTTTCAGATTTGTTGGTTTTTTCTCTGATTTTATCTTTCTCCCTCTATTAGTATAGTAGTTATCAACTGTATTTCTGTTCCTTTAGTAGTTGTGGTTATTAATACAAAAAATTAACATATCAGAGTCTGAAGGTAGTCAGTAGATTTAGCATCTGTAGGTGACTTTAGAAATATAACAATTCCATTCATCTCCTCCATCCTGAGTTTTATACTATTACTGCCACTTATTGGAATCCAGCCTTGATTATTTTCCTTTTAATTCACTAGACATGATTATTTCTGCTTTATACAGCCAGTGTTTACGTGGGTTCTCCATAGGTTTATCATCCTTCGCATCTCCACGCCATCTTTCACTTCAGACCACACAGCTGGGATCACACCCGTCTGTTTAACATCACACTCCCCGTTTCTGGTTTTCTACAGGTGCCTTTCATCATCCTCTGCATCTGAAGGACAATTTAGCTGGGTTTAGGAATTGAAGCAGTCATTTTCTGTCCATTTGTTGAGGACATAACTCTACCTTTTCTGGCTTCCATTGCTGATGAGTCAGCTGTTGGTTTCTCCTTGTTAAAAGTAGTTTATCCTTTCTCATTGGGTGCTTTGAAGACATATTCTTCCTCTCATTGCTCATGTTCTTTTACTGTGCTGTATCTAGGTATGCATTTTTCTTTATTACAATGTTTACGAATCACGGGCATTCTTCAATCTGTGCAGTCTTATCTTCCATGAATTACGGAAAATCTCAGCTACTATTTCTTCAAATACTGTCTCTGATCCAGTCTTACTCTTTCATTTTTCTTTTGAGATTTGGGATAGATATATGTCACAACTAAATAATACCCTCTCTGATTTTTAAGTCTTCGTCCATATTTTCTGTCTTTTTATTTCTCTGTGCTGCCTTCTCTATAATGTCTTCACATCTATCTCTTCCAGTTCACTAACTTTTCCTTCAGCTGAGCTAATCTGCTTTTGACCCTGTCAATTGAGTTTTTAAATTATTATATTCTCTTAAAAATTGTTTTTGGTTTCCAGTTTTCATGACACCTGTCCCTTTACCCCTATTTTAGATCTTTATTTAAACATATTAAACAGACTTTATGTGTCTCATATTTAACATATTCAGCTGTTGCCATCTTTTTTATTCTTTTAAAGTTTTCATCTCTTTGCTGAATTTTCCCATCTGTTCATGAATAGTGTTCATTTCCACTAGTGCAATAAAGTATTAATCATAGTTATTTAAAGTCTCTGTGTACAGTGCTTCTGACTCTCGGGTCGTATCTGAATCTGGTTCTATAGATTGCTTTATTTTTTAACAGTGAGCCTCCCTCCCCTGACCCTCTGCTTTCCTCCTTCCCCCACCCACCCCCCTTTCTCTCTCTCCTTTTCTTTATTTCTCTTACATGTTTTGGTTGAAAATGACACAATGTGTGGGGGCAATACTGAGTAAATTTTCATGCCTGGGAAGCTACAGGTCCTTTCTGCTTGGCCGTTGAAGGTTGAGTCAGTCTAGCTGGGAGTTGAGCTGAGTTTGGGATTTCTTGTTGCTTTCCAGGCACCACCAGCTTCAACTCTTCAAGCTTCACCAGAGGGAAGGGACGACTTTGCCAGAGAACTTTTCTTGAGGTTTGCTTCATTCTCAGTTCTGAGCTTTTCATTCTTACCGTGCTCCACGTGCTTGCCTGTCCCATGGGAGACTGCTGTGTTTCCCACATGGCTTCTGCTGGCCTTGGTGGATGCCAAAGGGCCTTCTCTGATGTCTTGGTGCAGACTCAGTCTCAGGCAGGCAGGCGTGGCCTCCCTGGTCTTGGAAGGGGAGACTTTTGTCAGTCATTCTTTCTGTCTTTGGGTAATAGGAAATCTGTCATGATTCAGACCCACGATAGTTTCCTGCCCCTCACCCAGGGGTAGAAGGTTTTCTTTGGCCGTCCTCCAGCCACATTGGGTTTTCATCTGTGATTTCAGGGGGAGTGACAGGGTTTGTTGGAGAAGGGTCCAAGTGAGGCTTTTTGCAAACCACCTCACGCCTGTGACTCCTGCAGGTTTCATGATCTCATGTTAACCCACACTCTCAGCTAAATTCCTCTGGCCTGTCTCTAACCAATGGGCAGCCCCATCCTCTTCCCGTGCCCCAAGCCAGGTGAGACAACACTCTCGCCCCATCTCTTCTTGCAGGCACCTGCTCTCTCTAGATTTCAGTCTATTTGGATGACCTGCACCCTCAGCTCTCTGAGGTCCAAGGGAAGGCATGAGGATAGATCATCAGCTTTGTCTCGTTGCCAGGCATAAGCGACTGTCCTTCCCAGCTGCTGGGATCTGCTGTTCAACTTCCAGCAGCTGCTCACTGTGATACCTTGAACCAGTTCCCTCTGAGCGCACTCCATTTATTCCCCAATCCTTTGCTATTTCAAACACCTCTGTAAAAAATAACATTATTTCTCACAGCTGTGAATATCCCAGACTAAATGCCTAGAAGTGGAGGCGCTGAGTTGAAGGGAATGCTGCATCTGTAGTATTGACATGAATTGCCACGTTGCTCTCTGCAAAGGTTGTAGGGGCTCCCGACACACAGCTCCCATTAGTATACCCTTACCATGTTTTTTTTTTTTTTTTAATTTTTACCTAAGAAATGAAAAAGAAATTTTCCATGTAGTTTTAATTCACTTTTCTCTTATTAAAATGTAGTTCAGCTTCCTTTCATGTTAAAGCTATTTGCATTGAACTGTACACTTAAAAATAGTGAAGTTTTGTGATTTTTTTTACTACAATAAAAAGCTACTTACATTCTTGTCTATGAACTAAATATTCATATTTTTAACCACTTACAATTCGTGTGTTGGTCTTTGTTCTGTTTCAGTTGTTTCTTCTAGGTTTCTGTGTAGATATTTTCCTCAGATAAGGCTAAAATTGTATTCTCCTTTAAATAATATTGGGAAGTGTGGGCATTCCTGTTTTCCCCTTGACTTTACCAGAAATCCTTTACTACCCTCAATTAACTGTGGAGTTGGCTATTGGTTTGATATGGTCAGTCTTTATCAGAAGAAAATTCCTATTCCTAGTTTCTTAAAAACATCTTTTAGCCATGAAGACTTTTGTTCTCCCCCTGAAAAAATGTAATCAAAAT